TAGAAAATAAAAACTTCAACGCTTCTTGCACATACATTAGGAGGATGGTGGATGAAGCAAATCAGTTTTAAGGAAATCCGAACATTATTGCTGATGGTGGATGCTATAGAGAGCGCTATAACATAAATTTTTGTAGTTGTATGTTTTAATTTTCTTTCTATATATCTTTTTCTGGAGTAAAATAAATAAATATCATTTTTTTTTTATTTGCATGTTAATATTCGTTGTTATTCAAATCGTTGTTATCCAACATTTTGAATAACAACTAATGGGGCTGTATTCAGTCAAGACTTTTAAATACTTTTATAGTGATGGATTTTAAATGACTTTTGTAGAGTTTTTGTATTCCATAGCTATCTTTGATTTTGAGGTTTTTGTCCTAAATTTCAAAGTTATTCCATAGCAATCCGATATGTTGTGCTGTTTGCAGCAAAAAGCAACAGCGAGCAATGTTAAAAGTTGTTTTGTATCCTTTACCTAGAAAGGAATATAATGCAATTAACGATGGATAATGAAAGATTAAAATTTTGTGGCTCTTAAGATAATGATTCCATTTAGTGACAGCGATGTTTTGGTCCCAAACTCCCAAAGACAGCAAAGAGAGAAAAGAGAGCCGTGAGGTTGTTAGCCTCTTGTTTTACGGGGCAATCACCACAATTAAATTAATCCTACTGTTAGTTTAATAATTAAAAGGTTTCAATTTAATTTGATTATCAATATGAGCATCTTATTGGTCTTCTTAATTAATTAGATTTGGATAGTTATGAACGGCAAATTATACCGTGCAGTGTGTTTAAACTTTTGATTGCTATTTTGTTATATAATGTTTAGATTTTGGATTTTAACTATGTGAATATGTATTGTTTTGTACTATGTTTGGAAAAATAAGAAATGTTAAAAAATTGGGGTTCTTAAACTGAACCGAATTAATGTTAAACTGAATGATATCAATTTTTTTAAAATTGAAATACTGAAATCGGAAAAAATCGAATCAAATCTCAAAACGCCTACCCCTAGTGTACTACTTAACGGGAGAGTATTGTAACAATGTTGCATATATGAAATTTGCTTTTCACATACACTGCATGCAAATTGTAATATATACACTAAAAAGAAGGGGGTAATTTTAGAAAATTATATGTTATCTGCAACGTGAAAAAAAAGATTCTTATTTATTCGTAATTAAAATAGGTTGTAAACACCTTTCTAAAAGCCATTATATATATTTCATGTATGAATTCCAACATAGGTTGTAAACACCAAATTAAAGGTAGATCAGAGCCCCTAATGATTGTTTCACATGTCGACAAAGTTGTGGTGACTCCCTCTTCTCATCATTTCAACACACCAAACTTGTATTACTTAGAATAACTCTTCAATTCGACCTCACCAAAATACAGATTGATAATCTTAATCACATATAAACTATTTTATAGAGTCTATTAAAATCTTAGGAAAAATGGCACTTTTTCTCCTGAGTTATATATACTTATAGCACTTTTCCCCCTGAATTTTTCAAGTGGCTGTTTTTCCATCTGAAATGTTAAATCGACATATTTACCTTTAAAATAAATATTTCATTTATTTTTCTTATCCAATCCACAATTTGGTTCAAACCAAATAGACACGGTAGCAACCAAACCAAAATATTCCAATTACAATTTAGAACCGAAACCCGATATTTAGAGATTGTTATAATCGCGAACCGGAACGGCCGATTCATGTTTCGAACTAAAAAAATAAAATACATTTATTGTTGAATTTAGACTATTTTAAAATATAAAATCTAAAATTTTAAAATATAGACGGTTCAAAATCGCAAATTGAATCCGGAACTGTCGGTTCACGGTTCAGGATCTAGTTTTTTTTTATTTATAATTTTAATAAACTGAAATCCAAATATTGGGTTCTAGATCTGAATCATAATCGGAAACTTTTAATTCGATGGCAATAGTGTCCGGTTCAGTTCGAATCGGTCGTGGTCATTCCTACTGATTGTGGTCATTCCTACGTATATGCAATAATTTGTTGGAGAAGAAAAATAAATAAAATATTTTCTTTAAGGGTAGAAATGTCAATTTAATATATCAGGAGGGGGGAAACCGCCACTTATTGATTAATTGAGGGGGCTAATGTGCTTACAAAAATAATTAGGGGGCGGGGGGGGGGATGATATAAGTATATAACTCAGTGAGAAAAAGTGGTATTTTTCCAAAATCTTATATTTTATATTGTTTTTCTCTTCTTTCCTATTAGCGAGTTCCGACCCTTTTGTTCGAAATTTCTTCGTTTGTACTGAACCACTTATTTTGTACAATTTTATGGATTTTTGTTCATTACCAAGTACATGTATTTTGAATAGAGATAAAGTTACATATACATAATTGAGAAATTGACAATTTTAGTCTCTCAATTATGCTATATAATGGTAAACTTAACCCCTAATTATACATATGTCCTCAATTAGTTTCTGAATTGTTTATTCAGTGGTTATTTTAGTTTCTCACCTCAAGTTTATGTTAAAATTAACAATTATATAATGAATCGTAAATTTAAAAATTTATTATTAGCTACCCTCAAAACACAAAACAAATATGTTTTGAACTAATAATCATTTCTTGTATGTAATATATATTACTTTTCTTCATTGCTTCAGTGTAAATTCATGTCAATAATTCTTAATGAAATAAAATAATTCTATAGCTAAATGTTTATAAAACGATTAAAGGAAGCTAAGAAAATACCAGTAATAAAGTGAAGAAAAAAAATAAATAAGGGTTAATTTCATTGTTGGCCCTAGATTTATAGTGACAATCCACTTTAAGTTTTTTTTTTTTTTTTTTTTTTTTTTTTTTTTAGAACATCCACTTTTGGTCCTAGTATTATTGTGGCATAATTATTTTTTGTCCTTTATCGACAAAACAGTTTAAATATTGTGAAATACAAAGGCATTTCGATCTTCAATTATAGAATTTTTTTTTCAACAAAATAAACAAAAAAAATATATATAACGGTTCAACCTATGTTGTATAATGAAGATTGAAATGTCTTTATATTTAACAACATTTAATTTCAACGATTTTGTTAAACGATAACGAAAAATGGTCATGACACAATAATACTAGGACTAAATGAGGATGTTTTAATAAAAAAAAAAATGACTAAAAGTGGTCTGCCACCTATAAATCTATGACAAACAATGGAATTACCTTTCAAAGTAAGGGGCGCTCCTTGTGCGCAGTGAGCACCGGTCTAGCCTCTGTGGTTCATGTTCAGTTGAGTCACCATGATTTACATTCTCCCAAATGCTCTGTCGGGCCGGGGTGTGGGGGGCCCTTAGGGTTGGGGTTCAGCCTTTTGGAAGAATGACAAAGAATGGAATTAACTCCACTTTTTAAGTCAAAATAATACATATGCATTTCTTTAATTTAGAATTATGTGTCTACAATGTCTTTATTCAAAAAAAAAAATTATTCATTATCAATAAATTAAATAAGAGAATTAATTTCATTAGTTATATTGTCTTTATTTTTCTCCAATATAAAAATTCTTTACATTCAAATTCATCAATTAATTATATTCGCTACATTGTCCCTACAATGTCTTTGTTAAAAAATAATTATTCATTATCAATAAATTAATTAAGAGAAATAATTGTATTAATTATATTGTCTTTATTTGTATCCAATGTAAAAATTCTTTAAATTCAAATTCATCAATTGATTGTATTCACTACATTGTCTATTATCTTTTTCTTGTACAATATTTGTTTTAATTAAATATCAAAGTTATAATATAAAATAATGATATATATTTATTTAACAAGTATGTTATTAATACCAAGGACTTCTTTTATCTAGGATGATTGCCCAACTGTGAGACATAGACAACATTCTATTTGTTTGTGCATTGAATGTGTCTATTCAAGTCTAACTTAGACTTAATGGTCTTGAGGAAGTTACACGAAAGATTTCCTTTATCTTTCGTTGTTGTTGCTGATCAAAAAACAATTTCCTTATCATTCGAAGTTTACACGAGAGCTAGACCCTTCTATCTTTCGGTCTGTGTTGTTCTCTCGGTCTTCTCTTGTTCTTCACTTCTTTTCGTTGACCTAAACTAATGGTCACAACTCAGATTCGTGTATGTATGCTAGTTAGCCGAATCACATAGTGAGTTGCTAAATCTTTCGTCTAACACGAAAGATCAAATATAGCGAAAATAAAAGAGGTGTCTACGATCCTAGTAATATTGGTATCATCAAAATCTAAATACACTGGTTCCTAACAGTTTCATCACCGAAACCCTAATAAACTGTTGTTCTAGTTGAATATCCGTTGTTAGTTTCAGATGCACTAACATGACGAGTTCAGCAAGTATTTAATAGTGATCTTTTAAAATTTAGAGACATACTTGTCTTCTAATATAAAGTTGAAGTGTCCAGTTGACTATTTCCCGTGGATTTTAAATTTAGAAAGAAGAATAGGCTATGAAGTAGTCATGTGTGGCACACAATAAGCAAACCTTTTGGAGAAAAATTATCATTACCTTCATTGCAAAGTTATGAATTGCTTCACGAAACTAACAATCGAGTTTAGTGGTTTCGCCATTAATAGTCCTAAACTTTTGTTTTGAGCATCCGTCATCCTCCGAATTTCAAAAATGACCTCCGCTAGTCCTTTCGTTAAGTTTCTCCGTCTCAACCGTGAAATCTTAAGAGCACAATAGTCTTGTTGTTTTTATATTTGTGATTTTTTTTTTTGATAGGGAATATTTCTGATTTTTTTTTAAAGGGAATATTTGTGATTTTTTTTCTAAACCTTAGTAAAAAAACACTATAAAAGAACCTCCACATTTTCTTCTTCTTCTTCAATTCTTCTTCAAACCATCTATCTATCACACCTTTAATTTGCTTTGCAAAGCTTAGCTTAGCTTAAACCTCTAATCTAAACTAATCTACTTGACAATGCTTGTCCATATCCTCCTCATTGTTTTTCTTTACAACCTCCGTAACCAAAACCAATACCTCAGCCAGCCATGCCATCCCCTTTCCCCCCCACCAGCATTTCAACGTTAAAGAATCGGTTTCTCAGGCAATCAAACTCCATCCCCTGCCAAAAACCCAGGAGGAATTCATCAATGAAAGCCGCCATAAAGGGGAGGAGGGTAGTTGGAAGCTCAAGCTCCTCAGAGATAAATTGCCCTTTCCCCATTTTACTGACTTCCGCCGTCGATTCGGATCCCAAATGAAAAGGGACGCACACAGAGTCGCCGCCCTCAATCGCAGAACTCGCTGCGGCGGCGGCAGTGGGAAAGCCGCCGAGTATGAGGTGGAGGAGTTCGGGGCGGATGTGGTTTCCGGTATGGATCAAGGGAGTGGAGAATACTTAGTGAGGATTGGGGTCGGGAGTCCGGCAAAAAATCAATATATGGTGATTGACTCCGGGAGTGATATTGTGTGGGTTCAGTGTCAACTCTGTAACCAATGCAAACATCAATATGACCTGGTGTTCGACCCGTCTTTCTCAATATGTTAACAAATATTGGGGCCAAAACCCACGAACCATTTTAGCTGTCAATAGAAATCTAGATGCCTTCTTGCTGGATGTTCCCTAAGATGGATAGTCTGGTTGGGGATGGAGCAAATGCAAAGCAAAATGTGCCCCTTTCATCAACTGGTATTAAAACGTTCCTAGCTGGAATGGTCAGGATCAGGCCACGCATTAGGAAAAATGATATGGTTGGTACCAAAACCGTAACGAACCCGTTTAAATCTTAGCATGTGTCTAATATTGAGACGCTGGGTGCCCGAGGAAGGTTGGCGGTTTGTGTCATAAATGCGTCGCCCAATGCTGCGTACGCCACTTGAGGTATAGAATAGGAGCCTTTATATCTATAAATATTAGATTTTTTTTTTAAAACATAAATAATAGAACTTGAGAAGTAGTTTTTGTATTCTTCGGTTAGTTGTGTAATTGATTAACTAATTTTGAACCTTAACACCTTAGGTTAGGAGTAGTAGTCCTATGGACGTGATGAAGTGGTACTGATCTCTTACAGTACACATACACTTATATTCTATGCTGATCTGGACTGTGACTTGATTGTGTTTATGTTATTTGAAGAGATCTTCCTTTTAATTGTTTCTGGGCTTCTGTAATTTCAGATTGGGTTTGAGCTTTTGTCTTTTGAATTTTGTATCTTGGGGGTTTGTCTTAATTCTACTACTTGTGTGTCTCAGACGGTGGCATACGCGGCGTTGCACGAGGCATTTATGACGCAAACTGCCAGCCTTCCTCTGGCACCCAGCATCTCAATATTGGACACATGCTAGGACTTAAACCGGTTTGTTACAGTTCTGGCCAACCGTATCATTTCTCCTGATGGGTGGCCCAATCCTGACCATTTCAGCTACGAACATTTTTATACAAGTTGATGAAAGGGGCACGTTTCGCTTTGCATTTGCTCCATCCCCAACCGGACTATCCATCATAGGGAACATCGAGCAAGAAGGCCTCCAGATTTCCATTGACGGCTCAAATGGTTTTGTGGGTTTTGGCCCCAATATTTGTTAAACTATTGAGAGAGACGGGTCGAACACCGGGTCATATTGATGGTAGCATTAGTTACAAGGTTGACACTGAACCCACACAATATCACTCCCATAGTCAATCACCATATACTGATTTTTCGCCGGACTCCCGACTCCAATCCTCACAAAGTATTCTCCACTCCCTTGATCCATACAGGAAACCACCTCCGCCCCGAACTCCTCCACCTCATACTCGGCGGTTTTCCCACTGTCGCCGCTGCGAGTTCTGCGAATGAGGGCGGCCACTCTGTGTGCGTCCCTTTTCATTCGGGATCCGAATTGGCGGCTGAAGTCGGTAATATGGGAAAAGGGCAATTTATCTCTGTGCAGGAGCTTGAGCTTCCAACTACCCTCCTTCCCCTTATGGCGGCTTTCATCGATGAATTCCTCCTGGGTTTTTGGCAGGGAATTGAGTTTGATGGCCTGAGAAACGGATTCTTTAATGTTGAAATGCTGGTGGGTGGGAAAGGGGATGGCGTGGCCGGCTGAAGTATTGGTTTTGGTTTCGGAGGTTGTGAAGAAAAACAGTGAGAGGGAGATATGGACAAGCATTGTCAAGTAGATTAGTTTAGATTAGAGGTTTAAGCTATGCTAAGCTAAGATTTGCAAAGCAAATCAAAGGTTTGATAGATGGTAATGAATAAATGTATTTGCTTTCAATGGAATCGGTTAGTTGTAATCTCTTAATTTTTAATGATTTCCGTGTTTTCAGATTTGTAATTTGTTTAATTTTAGTGATTTCAATGTCTTCAAATTTGTATTTGGGTTAATTTTTATGATTTCAATTACTTCGAATTTGTAAGGTTCATTTGAGGTTTAGTTTTACAATTCAAATCGTGGTATAATATGCACTCGGTTATATACCATACATAATACGAATAATTTCTTAAATTATTTTTTTAAAATAAATTCATTAAAATTAACGTGTCTAAAAATTATGTTGATATACATCCATTTTTTTTTAAAGATTGATATACGTAAATTAAGCCAATTTCATTTACCGTGGCTTGAATCCTTGTAAAGGATGATAATCAAGTGGTTTGGACACCGTTAGATACTAACGTACAACTAGCCAATAATCACGAAGATTGTACTTCTCATGGAGAATACATTCAGATTATTGGTAGTTTAATTGTATCAAATGGGTTGTACTAGGCCAGATATTGTCTTTGCGGTTAACCAACTCGGTAGACATCCACTTTATGTTTTTTTTTTTTTTTTTTATTAGAACATCCACTTTTGGTCCTAGTATTATTGTGGCATAAACATTTTTTGTCCTTTATCGACAAAACAGTTTAAATATTGTGAAATACAAAGGCATTTCGATATTCAATTATAGAATTTTTTTCAACAAAATAAACAAAAAATATATATATAACGGTTCAACCTACGTTGTATAATGAAGATTGAAATGTCTTTATATTTAACAACATTTAATTTCAACGATTTTGTTAAACGATAACGAAAAATGGTCATGAAACAATAATACTAGGACCAAATGGGGATGTTTTAATAAAAAAATGACTAAAAGTGGACTGTAACCTATAAATCTATGACAAACAATGGAATTACCTTTCAAAGTAAGGGGTCTCCTTGTGCGCAGTGAGCACCGGTCTAGCCTCTGTGGTTCATGTTCAGTTGAGTCACCATGATTTACATTTTCCCAAATGCTCTGTCGGGCCGGGGTGTGGGGGGCCCTTAGGGTTGGGGTTCAGCCTTTTGGAAGAATGACAAAGAATGGAATTAACTCTACTTTTTAAGTCAAAATAATACATATGCATTTCTTTAATTTAGAATTATGTGTCTACAATGTCTTTATTCAAAAAAAAAAAATTATTCATTATCAATACATTAAATAAGAGAATTAATTTCATTAGTTATATTGTCTTTATTTTTCTCCAATATAAAAATTCTTTACATTCAAATTCATCAATTAATTATATTCCCTACATTGTCCCTACAATGTCTTTGTTAAAAAATAATTATTCATTATCAATAAATTAATTAAGAGAAATAATTGTATTAATTATATTGTCTTTATTTGTATCCAATGTAAAAATTCTTTAAATTCAAATTCATCAATTGATTGTTTCACTACATTGTCTATTATCTTTTTTTGTACAATATTTTTTTAATTAAATATCAAAGTTATAATATAAAATAATGATATATATTTATTTAACAAGTATTTTATTAATACCAAGGACTTCTATTATCTAGGATGATTGCCCAACTGTGAGACATAGACAACATTCCATTTGTTTGTGCATTGAATGTGTCTATTCAAGTCTAACTTAGACTTAATGGTCTTGAGGAAGTTACACGAAAGATTTCCTTTATCTTTCGTTGTTGTTACTGATCAAAAAACAATTTCCTTATCATTCGAAGTTTACACGAGAGCTAGACCCTTTCTATCTTTCGGTCTGTGTTGTTCTCTCGGTCTTCTCTTGTTCTTCACTTCTTTTCGTTGACCTAAACTAATGGTCACAACTCAGATTCGTGTATGTATGCTACTTAGCCGAATCACATGGTGAGTTGCTAAATCTTTCGTCTAACACGAAAGATCAAATATAGCGAAAATAAAAGAGGTGTCTACGATCCTAGTAATATTGGTATCATCAAAATCTAAATACACTGATTCCTAACAGGTTCATCACCGAAACCCTAATAAATAGTTGTTCTAGTTGAATATCCGTTGTTAGACTCAGATGCACTAACATGACGAGTTCAGCAAGTATTTAATAGTGATCTTTTAAAATTTAGAGACATAATTGTCTTCTAATATAAAGTTGAAGTGTCTAGTTGACTATTTCCCGTGGATTTTAAATTTAGAAAGAAGAATATGCTATGAAGTAGTCATGTGTGGCACACAATAAGCAAACCTTTTGGAGAAAAATGATCATTACCTTCATTGCAAAGTTATGAATTGCTTCACGAAACTAACAATTCTTTTTGAGATATATTTTTTAATTGAAATTTTTATATTTAATAAAGAGTAAATACTAGTCAAGGGTCCTCGAGTTTAGTGGTTTCGCATTAATAGTCCTAAACTTTTGTTTTGAGCATCCGTCATCCTCCGAATTTCAAAAATGACCTCCGCTAGTCCTTTCGTTAAGTTTCTCCGTCTCAACCGTGAAATCTTAAGGGCACAATAGTCTTTTTGTTTTTATATTTGTGATTTTTTTTATAGCGAATATTTCTGATTTTTTTTTTTTTGAAAGGGAATATTTGCGATTTTTTTTCTAAACGTTAGTAAAAAAACACTATAAAAGAACCTCCACATTTTCTTCTTCTTCTTCAATTCTTCTTCACACCATCTATCTATCACACCTTTAATTTGCTTTGCAAAGCTTAGCTTAGCTTAAACCTCTAATCTAAACTAATCTACTTGACAATGCTTGTCCATATCCTCCTCATTGTTTTTCTTTAAAACCTCCGTAACCGAAACTAATACCTCAGCCAGCCATGCCATCCCCTTTCCCCCCACCAGCATTTCAACGTTAAAGAATCGGTTTCTCAGGCAATCAAACTCCATCCCCGGCCAAAAACCCAGGAGGAATTCATCGATGAAAACCGCCATAAAGGGGAGGAGGGTAGTTGGAAACTCAAGCTCCTGCATAGAGATAAATTGCCCTTTCCCCATTTTACCGACTTCCGCCGCCGATTCGGATCCCGGATGAAAAGGGACGCACACAGAGTCGCCGCCCTCATTCACAGAACTCGCGGCGGCGGCAGTGGGAAAGCCGCCGAGTATGAGGTGGAGGAGTTCGGGTCGGACGTGGTTTCCGGTATGGATCAGTGGAGAATACTTAGTGAGGATTGGGGTCGGGAGTCCGTCAAAAAATCAATATATGGTGATTGACTCAGGGAGTGATATTGTGTGGGTTCAGTGTCAACCCTGTAACCAATGCAAACATCAATATGACCCGGTGTTCGACCCGTCTT